CCCCCTGCCTTGTTAAGTGGTGGTAATGGAAACGGTGGCATTGGACCCTTTGGTACAGGGGGCGACACACACACACATAGCCGTATTCGGCGCGGTCTCCCCTAGCAAAGTAGTAGTGAGGCCAGGGGCCTCCAGTAGCGTCCTGACTCCCCGGGGAACATTTGCACAGAAAGCGCCAATTGTTGGCACAGCAAAAAACTATTAGTCACCTAAAAAGCCTAAGAAAGACCGACAAAGCAAACAAAACAAAAGCAGACTAAGAGGGCAAGAAAGATAGGTGTAGTTACGAGGCCCACTTAGTTAAACGAAAGTAGTTTGCGAGCGGGACATTCGTCTTAAACCGCCCGGGTAGCTAGCAATAGACTAGGAGAAACAGAAGGAAAGGCACCAACACACAAGTGTGTTGAGTGCGATTTCCTTCTGTTGCTCAGTAGCGGGTGGGATAGCAGAGGAGGCCCAGGGGCAGGGAGGGGGTGCACCATTAATTCGTCCGGCCTGTGAATACTTAGCAGCATGTGGCAGACTGAGAGAATCCCGTTTTTTGGCCCGGCGGCCTTGGAAGCAGTAAATTCAGTTAAGGTTGATCAAGTGAATTCCTGTGAGAAGTGGAAAAAGCTCAGTTACACGAGTTACACGATTTCCGGCATGAATTCAGCGCCCCAGTGACGGGGATCACACTCAGCACCCGAGTGGGACGGCTGAGCGAAACACACTCTCACATTGGTTTTCAGTTACACTCAGTTCCCACGTTGAGAAGGAAGGCGATGGAACGGCATGGTGAAAGGTCCAAAGACTTGAAGGTGTTTTAACATTGAAGTTTCTCATCTGCAGTGGTGCGACGACGACGCGCGCGAGCGGCGAGGGAAAGGGTTTAGGGGAAGTAGCATGAACCACCATGGAAACAAACAAAGAAAGAGTGGAGTGACAGCTTGTACAACAGTTCGGCAGGTTCGTTTGCAGCCCCCCCCCAGTGGCCTCTTCGTTGGCACTCCGCCACTGGGGAGGGGATGGCCCCCTGCCTTGTTAAGTGGTGGTAATGGAAACGGTGGCATTGGACCCTTTGGTACAGGGGGTGACACACACACACACACACACATCGAGCAGCCCTGCCAAGCAGTTTCGCGATTCCAGCCCAAACAACACCCGCTCACGCCAATCCCAATGTCACAGCGACATTCACCTCTACAACCATCCACAACCTGGGTCATTGGAGGGTACCGGTTTCAACTGGTTCCGCTTAATATAGCACAAGCAGAACACCACAAGCGGGAACATAAACCATAACCATAAACCTGTTTCTTCAACAACATGTGCAGAATGCTGATCCTCTTCTCCCAGCGCTTTTCCGGACTTGGAGCAAAGGATTCCGATTTTGGGAGCGAGCCTGTCTGTGGGTGATGAATCACTAGCTAAACAATGCCAAACACGTGATATACCTTGGGCCTATCCATTTTGCAGGTTTCAGTGGATGATGATGGTTAGTTTGCAGGCCCTTTTCACAAATAGTGATACAGGTAAGTTGGGACAAACCCAAGATATACCGATTTACCTTCCTGGACCTGGACCATCCTGGCTGGACATCTCTAAATATAGTATAATTACGTAGTCCATTGATGTCCATCCAGCACCCAAAAACAATGGTCCTGGTAGAAAGATTTCGGCATTGTGTTTTGGGATATGTCTTCATGGGGAAGCCATGTGCGAGCCATGTTTCCGGTGTGAGTGCAAGTCCATGCAAGTCCCATGCCGCTGCCAGTGGAACACCTTGGCGAGTTCAATGGAACCCTGTGGTGCGTACGCAAGATGCCTGGCAGAAGCAGAAGGACTCGTGCAGCCCTACTGAGCATCGAGCTTCAAACGCTTGCTTCTTTGCTTCTCGTAGTCACAAGTGAAAGTACAAAAGAATCTGTTGGGTGCACCGTGATCACACCTGGATTGAAGTCTCTACATGTGCACATGAGTCTTTACGTCTGGAAGCCTCTAAAACTCGGGTCAGGGTCACGGAAAGCTGGGATATGGGCAACAAAAATACACATATCACAATCTGTATCAATCTGTATCATATTCATAGAGCCTGGCCGCCAGGTTCCATGTGGGTCTCTTTCCGGGTGTTCTTCATGCTTTTGTTCGAAGCACGACGCGCTCGTTAAGAACCCTGAGGTTCCGGCCAAGCGGTGCTCCGCAGCGGTGCTCGCGCTCGCGAGGGGCTCCTTCCAGGCGTCCACCATGATCTGGGAACCGCGCAGTGAGGTCCTGGGCGTCAAATCGATATCGACCCAAGCTCATTTTCCAAACAAATTGAGAGCTTGGCAGCCATTGAGCTCTACTGCAAGTGGACATGGATTCTTTGAAAAACACTCCTGCACAAACAAGGACACTCTTCAACGACCACTTCCGGGGTCTCCCCAATACTCACTTGCAACTATAGAAACCACAACCATCCACAACCTGGGTTATTGGAGGGTACCGGTTTCAACTGGTTCCGCTTAATAGCACAAATAGAACACCCTAGTCGGTTCTTCCACAAAATCTGCAGAATCCTGATCCTCTTCACTCTTCTCCCAGCGCTGGGGGTCCCCACCCACTCAGCATGCTGATAGCCTTCGATACCTCTTCCGGCGAGGTATAGGCAGCCATTCCCGATTTATTGCCCTCGCACACGCAGCAGACCGCAGGGGGGAGCAACTGCTGTGCGGCGGACTGGGGTGGCATCTAGAACACCCTAGTCGGGAACATAAACCATAACCATCAATCTCTTTCTTCCACAAAATCTGCAGAATCCTGATCCTCTTCTCCCAGCGCTGGGGGTCCCCACCCATTCAGCGTGCTGATCGCCTTCGCCACCTCTTCTTTCGAGCCGTAGGCCAAAGCCCGATCCTTTGCCCTCGCACACGCAGCACACCCAAGCTCATCGACATCGACGAATTGAGAGCGCAGCCATTGAGCTCTACTGCAAGTGGACATGGA